GATGGACCCGGTCTACTGTTTTTGACACGGCATTCTCACCACCTAGTGGTGTGAAGTACAGTCCGCTAACAGCTAACCAGAACTCTGTAGAAGTAAAGAGCCCCTCATTCTGGCATGCGAGACTGCGGCTGCGAAATCTAACTGTCACACCCCGTCCTAGCCCTCCGTCTCCGTCTTGTTCGTTGTTTAGGCTGTGCATGTTGTCCTCCTCGGGACGTATGATATTGCTTGGTTGCAAAGCATGGTGGTGTAAAGAATTATTGAGGGTTTGCTGGTTTGGTATCCGAAGGCTTTCGGCGGGTCTGTGGTTTCTTTTCGATAGGCTAACAAGCGCGTTGATCTGAGGTCACTGCAGTGCTTTAACCTTCACATGCATGCTTGTATCTCCCCCTTCGCATTTGAAGACTATAGGAAGGTGCTGTGCTGCTGCGGGACGATGGCAGCGGCAGTCTCCTTGCATGGGAGCATTGGCAGCACGTTCACCTCTTTCACCTCAGATTGGACAAGAAGCTGAAACCCCGCAGCAGGATTCTTTGTATGGGTGCTTCGGCAGCACCAACACTTCGTTCACCTCAGAGTCTGGCCAAGCCCGATGATCCGAGAGTGACGAGATCAACGCTAAAGCCCAAGTCCAATTGAACGAATTCTGGTTTATTGTGTAGCATCGAGGGCTTCGTGTTTAGAACGAATTTAACCCAATCGCAATCTCGAACACGCTGATAAACGTGCATGCAGGGCAAACAGGTCTCTCGTTTAGAAGACCTCAATTTCAGCACATCCTTCCCTGGTGAACCCTTCCATGCATTCTTGAAACTTGCCTGTGGGCCGAAAGCGCACCAGACCCGCACGATAATCCTATGTGCAAACTGTCGATAGCCTCGTCTTGAAGCCTCCGTTCTCAGGCAGGTTGCCGTGCCATACTCAGCAAAGATGGATCTGACGGAGTCGTTCGTGACAGCACTGGGGAGGTGGGTGACGAAGAGCTCATTGCTCGGCTGTTGCCTCCGTCTGAGGGAGGGTTGTTGAGGGCGTTGGGACCTCTACTAGAGTAGGAGGCTGGTAGTGGCAGTAGTCGCAGTCGTTGCTTGCGAAAAGCGGTGCTGCTCTTGCTGATCTAAAGAAACCCTTTCATTGCCAGTGTAGGGTTGCAGCACACACGTACAAATTGAGGAAGTGAGGCTGCTCGCAGCGAGGGGCGGTAAGAGCGGCAGGTTTTCCTATCCGGATCTCTTCGCCCCGTTCCATACAAGCCAAGTCGAGGTCCTTGTCACCCTATCTGGCCGCCGTTGTACCTTCAATCCAAACCTGAAAGGCTTCGACCAAAGTTCAACGCTTCGCAGCCGAGCAGCATCATGGCACGTACTCTAACTGTACAAGCCCCCAAACGTGCACAGATGCTTAAGCCAAACCTGCGGCAGGGTTTGGGGCGCAGGGTTCAGGGAACTTGCTAACTGTACGAGATGTCCCTGCCAGAAGACTTCACCATCGCGCCGCATCTTTTCGTAACGAAAGCCGATCTCGCTTGGCTTGCGACTTGCGTCATCGGAGAAGACCAGCATGCTCGCAAATGCAGTCTCGATCGCCCTCACACATTAAAGTTCTGAAAGCCTCAATTTAAAAACATGAAACTTCTAGCTACTTAGCTAGTAATTCTACTTGCCCGCGAGCTCAAGTTGCTGGGATCTGGCCCTGGAGCAGGGGGCAGAAGCCTGAATCCTGAGGCTTAGAGGCTTAGCGTAACAGCATTGCATCGGATGCGAAAGTCACCAGACTCGATATGGTGCTTAGAACTTAGAACTGGGGAGCACCTGAGACAGTGTCCGACTTGCCTTATTCAACTCCTCCCTTCAGCAGAGCTGTTGTGGGCCGCACTAGCCTTCTGTACGTGGGCCTCTACTGGCCGGCTGCTGAGGCGAATAGAGGCGAAAAAAAGACGAGAAAAGGTGCCTTCAGCCCCAACCCGCAAATAATACAGCACAACCGCAAACCCCACAATCTCAATTCTGCATCTTCTGAAATTGGCCGGGTTTAAGGACCCACACATACGCATACGCAACCCAAGGCTTTGCCACAGCTTACATGCAAACATGTTTCGCTGACCACGACTGCCTTCAAAAGCGCAGTTTCGGGCTATGTTTTGAGGCGCAGGTTGGAAATGTAGCCATCGAGATTGAACAGTTCCAGCGCCTCGACAATCAGAGGCCGGTTCCACGGAATTCCAGAGTCATGAGCCTTGTACGAAGCCAGTTCCCCCGAACTAGATCCCCCTGAAGGCTTTGGGAACCCAAAAACCCTATACCCCGAAACGCTTAACCCCACACAAAGAGCCCCAAATCCCTTAGTTTGGGGATCTTGGAGCTTCTCGACGGTAGCGCTCTCGAAACCGCCAAAGTCCAACAAGAATCCAGAGCTGGACTCACGCCTATGCCGGGGGTTTCGGGTTCAGGTTTACGCAGAGATGCGTGAGGCTTGCAATGAGACGTTCAAGCCCGAAGCCTCCGAGGTGTTGTCGAAAGGCCCGGCTGCAAGTCGATCTGGGCCATCTACTATATGGGGGGTTCCATAATTAGGGGTACCTTATTTTGGGGTCCTTATAAAGAGGTATTGGGGTCCCCCATTTTCGGAAACCCCCGTATACCTACGCAGCAGCGACCTCAAGAAAAGGGCTTGGGGCACAGGGATGTGCAGTGTTTGAAGTCGCATCTGAAGCTTCGCTGTAGTGGCATAAGCAATTCGTGGTCTTGCCTATATCAAGTCAGCATGTCGTTAAATTGCAAGTATTGCCGCAGCGTCGCAGCTCCTGAGGACACGAAGGAACTTAAACGGGGCTGAGGCTCACCTCCGTAACATGCAAGTGTCGCCTCGTAGTCCTCGGCCGACCAGTCGGACAAGTCCATGCTTGAAGGATCTGGGGGGAGTGAAGCGTCGTGGTAACCGGAGCAGTAGTAGTAGTCGTCGCCATGGCAGCTTGGCAGCATTGCAACGGCCCCGATCCAAAAATGCGGCACTAGCAGAGTTGCCTGATTCAGCACTAGCAAAGTTCAGAGGTTTAGGTGCTAGGCTGTACAACTGCGGGCCGCATGGTGCCATGCAGTGGTGCTCTGAGCTGCTGCGTTGCTGCGTCGTGCGTGGTTTTCGGCTCAGTCTTGTCCTTTAGAGCCGAAACAAATGCATGCCTAGCGACATTCGAAAGGTTTCGGGCTGATGATTTTGAGGCTTCAGCCTTCGACAGTCAACGGTGTTGCTGGTCGCAGTGAGGGCGGCACTACTGCTGTGGCAGTGGTGTTGGTATTCGTGGTAGCCACAGCCACGCGCTCGCAACAACAACAACAACAACCACAACAACAACAACAACAACCACAACAACAACAACAACCACAACCACAACCACAACAACAACCACAACCACAACCACAACCACAACCACAACGACAACGACAACGACCGCGACAGCGACAGCGACAGCGACAGCGACAGCGACAGCGACAGCAACAGCAACACCAACAGCAACAGCAGCAACAACAACACCAACACCAGCACCACCACCACCACCACCACCACCACCACCAACAACAAACAAACAAACAAAAAAACAGCAACAAAAACAACAACAAACAAACAACCACAACTAACAAACAAAATAAACAAACAAACAGACAAACAAACAAACACACAAACAAACAAACAAACAAACAAAACAAACAAACAAACAAACAAACAAACAAACAAACAAACAAAACAACAAACAAACAAACAAACAAACAAACAAACAAACAAACAACAAGACCATATGAGAGTTTCCGACAATTGGGGACCCTAATATAGTACCCCAAATATTCGGATCCTGATTATCAGCACCCCTAAATAAGGTAAGCCTATTTTCGGAAACTCACCATTCTACCGAATAAGAGACTTAGTTGGGCTTATATTGTCATGCTCAAGACTCGCAGAACATGCGAAACCTACTTTCGACCCTAACCAGGAACATCTTCAAAGAGTGAGACGAAGGCAAACAAAAAACAGTATCATCGGGCTTAGTTCTGCGACGGTGGAATGGAGTATCCTGTCAGCTCCATCTTCGAATTTGTGATTGCTGAAACCGTCAAATCGTCGGTTTGCTGAAGGCAGGACAAAGAAGCTGCAGCGTGCGGGCTTGCTATGAATCGAGTCTCGGGCTACCTTCAGCACCGTCCCGGCAGAAGCCCATAAGGATTGACCCGATTTTTGCGAACCCTGAATCCCTAAAGCCCGTAGTATAGGGCCTTAATAAATAGAATAGGGTCTTGGGGTACATTATAAGGTATTTACCATAGCGAACCTTCAAAATAGTATGTACCTCGAGCCTCCATAGTAGTTGCCTCTGGGGATTCGTATTTAGAATCCTACAAGGTAATCCCAAACAGGAACTACTATGGAGCCTATGGCCTATGGGTACGCCACCCTTCAAATAGCCTAAACCCTAAATCCCTGAAGCTCATACAACCATAAACCCTAAATCCCTAAAGCCCAAGTCTGCCGCCTTCCTCGGCCCTCCACATTTTCGTGAAGTGCGGAGACCTTCCGAAAGCCCTGCCTCTGTATGTAACAGTTCGAGGTGAGACTTGCAACTTGTACTCGGCGTCGCAGATACTCCCGAAGGCTCACGAAGGCAACGAGTGTGTGACATATACCTTCCTTAACCTCGAAAGCCTCCAGAAAGGCGTAGTTTCTGCAGTATAGTTTCTGCCTCGGAGCCTCAGGAAATTTCCGACTGCCCCCTTGAAGGAGGATCACACTAAGGGATTGTTTCAAGGTTTAGTTTAGGAAGACTCATCGCTTAATGCCACGGCAACCCTGGCTACCCTTAACCGTCAGACCCCATACCCAACACTTAGTTGCTGATTGCTGAGTTCCTAGGCCCCAAACAGTTTACACTTTCAGTTTTATGGTGGGTAATATTGTCCCAAAAGGTGTAAAGTGTATCCTCTCAGCTACTAAGCCATACCCTACATGCAAGCGTCTCAGATCTCCAGATCGCCACATGGCTTCGCCATGGACGGACGCGGAGCCGGCTCCTTTTCAAGAGTTAGCACAAAGCTCTTAATAAAATTAGTAGAAGGGCCTGCGAAGCGTGACAAGGTCCCTAGAAGCCCACTAGCCTACATAGCAGGATAGAGCAGGCCGTGCGTACCTGAGGGATCTGAAAGGGCTTGGGGAACACGAGCTGGCCATTGGCTTTCCTTTTAATGATCAGGACGGCTTGCCTTTGAGCTAGTGATGTTTCAACTGCGAAAGTTGAGCGTTGCCGTGCTTTGCAGCTTGCCAGACTATACTTGCCAACGCGAAATGCTCTTGGCTTGGGGCGCTCCATCATACCATTCCTCAGTGAGTGTATGAAGACCACTGGTGATGTAGTGGCTGGTGAACTAGCTCAACACCATAAATCATAAACCCCGAATTGCAAGCACCATGCCTTGCCACCAAGTAGCCTTCTTCGGGGATTCCTCCTCTGAGGTGAAGGCATTTAGCTGACGCGATGCATCTCCCAAGTCGGAAGGCTCGTAATATCTTTCGTCAGCCTGACTGCTCAGGGTTTAGGGTTTAGGGGTTTAGGGTTTACCTATAGTCTCCATGGTAACTCTTGTTTGGTTAAACCAAATGTATATATATATATATATACATACACATATAAATATAGTTAAGATCCTATAAGGTAACTCAAAAAAGGAACTACAATGGAGAGTAGTAGCTAATGTAGGAACCGGATTAAGACACCCTGGCCCTATAACCCCCAAAGAGTAGGATTCATGTAAGTAACCCTAGTCAAGACCCAGGGTTTCTTAATCAGGTTCCTACATTATTCTAGTACCCTTATAGATCCCTTATAGTAACCCTTATAGATCCCTTATACCTTATAAACCTCTTTAAAGGAACCCTAAAAAAGACCCAGGGTTTCTTAATCAGTTTCCTACCTTGGGGTCTCAGGGTTTCAGGGCCTGGGTCCTCGGAAGGCATGGCAAGCAACTTCGGCAGGACCGGAAGTGATGTAACCCCAGCCTACTATTCAGAACCTAGGCAAGACCCAGACCTTCCAAAACCCCTTAATTAAGGAATATACCTTAAATCACATTAGGGACCCTACTATAATTTAAGGTATATTCCTTAATTAAGGGGTTTTGGAAGGTCTGGGGACCTGCACACTCCTCAAGCAGGGCGGGGTTGCCGAAACCGAACATCCGAAAATTCGATGGCCGTAAAACCCGAAGCAAAACTAGTAATGGAAGCAAAAACCTCAATCGAGTACTAAACCTTAAACCCCTAAACTCTACAGAATACCTGGGGTATCCTCAGGTTACCTCTTGACGGGTTTGGGGTTTACCTTGAGCTACAAAGCCCTACTTTTTCTGTAGGGTCCTTACTTACCGCTATCTTACCTAAGGGCTCCAGTTACATAAACAATCGGTTACCTGGGTACATAAACTACGATTCAGGTAACTGGAGCCCGCCCTAGGGTTATCTGGGTTGTAGTGGTGGGGCTTTTGCAAGTGTTTAATGAGTAGCTACGCCTATAGGCCATAAAAGGAATTTACAAGTTTTGCAAAGTGTAACAGTGTAACCTAGTTTCTTGGTAGAGCTCTGTTCCGAAAGTGCTCTGAGCCTCCGCAGCGCCCTCGAATCTAGGGTTCGGTGGTGGAGGTCTCGGGTTTCAGGCTTACAGTTAAAGGGTTTAGGGTTTAGGGTTTAGGGTTTAGGGTTTAGGGTTTAGGGTTTAGGGTTTTTAAGGTTGTTTTTGTTTGAGCTCCTTTTCTCCGTTGCCTGCGGCTCCCGCGAGGCTTAGACAGCCAGGAAGGCATGACAGGGTTTAGAAGGTTTACAGTCTAGGGCTCAGAGGTTACCTATAGTTTCCATTGTAGTTCCTTTTCGCCTTTTTAGGATCCTTAATATAAAATTTGTTAAATCAAAAAAAGGAACTACAATCGAGACTATAGGTAGGGCTTAGATTCAGGGTTTGAGGTTTGGGGTCTACGAAATCACTGCACCTACATGGCCACACTGCATGCAATCGAAAACTTAACTGGCTGGGGCTTTGAACTCCACCAGACTGAGACATTTCCAGAAAAGCAAACCCAAACCTTAAACCCTAAAGCCTTCGATTTTGATTGCGGGGACCGACTCAGGCCAGAAAGTCCCAAGGAATCGCACCCAAACCCTAAATCCTGAAACGGAAAGCCCGAAAACACCAAAGACGAAAAGCCTCGGAAGTGAATTGCAGGCTGTAGTGCTTGTGGACTCGCTCCTGAGGGTTTAGGTCTTATAGGGGCTTTCAGGTTGTGTGCCATAGGGTTGCTTACCTTGGCTTTGGGCCTGTTTAATCAAGGATCCAGCTCTTGAGGATAGCTTTGGGAGTCCCAAGTTCTGACACTTTGACACTGCATCTACACACTAAGTACGGCTTCAGATATCAGCACGATCCGGATTGGACCCACTAGAAGCCCAGTTGTGCAATTAGATGATGCACAGACTCACTATGTTTATATGCACAGAAAGCCAATGCATGAAAGCTCAAAATGCACCCTCGCCAAGGTTTCAACGGAGCCTCCTGCAGACACCCGATCATTTCAGTACACAGCTCGAAGGATCACTCACGTTCTAGGGATTGGTCATCTGACTGTTTTCCGAACGTTGGAGTTGGAAGTCTGACTTTGGCATACTCTGGTCGATAGTTCTTAGTTTCTCTGCGATTCGTTTCTGTGTCGCAGATTTGAAGGATCCTTATGGGAGGGTAGGTCAAGGGGCAAGGTACTAAAAAGGATCCTTTGGGAACTTAAGGGAGTACCAGGAAGAATGGGAAACTACTAGGTAACTTTCCGCCGTCCGCTAGAAGCCCCTCCCTTAAGTTTGGCCTCATAGCACATCAACAAGAGTTCGATGTTAAGGCACTCATGCGAAGCTTCTCAGCATGAAGGCTCTCAAGGTTTAGCTTCTAGCCGTTGGTCTGATAGCCACACCCTCCGATGTCAACATGCTATTCTCTTCGTCATTTTGTGTCAACTCGCCGAATGATACTAAGACAACTCTGCTTCTTGCGATTCATCAAGTTCGGTCTGGATTTGGGGGGTAGCTTCTGAGTGTATCACCCGTCCGATGCTGTCACTATACAACGATGCTCTGGGCCGGCATCACTCACATCCCAAACATGTTCAATACGAAAGATAACTCGTTCATCGAGGTCCCTGAAGCCCCGAACACCCATACCACAAACCCCAAATGCATTAGACCCTAAACACGACACCCTATCAACTCCCAACCCTAAACCCCCAAAGCCCTATAAGCCACCAAAAACCCGAAACCGCTGAGAAAACTGGGGTCTTGCTAAAGCCCTTACCATAATGGAGATCTATCGTGCACAACATGGTTTCGACGCTCACACTCGCACAAGGCAGGCAAAGCTCCACATAGTCCAACGTATCGCAACTAAAGCAATAGCACACTACTCGAAGGCCTTCCAAATATGAAGACAATATGCACAGAACACTAACAACATGGTTTAGGGTTTAGAGTTTTAGTCAACTTAACACAAAATTCCACAACAAGAACCCAGAAAGCTGGAGTGCATCTCCGCCACCTCCGCTTTCTCCGAATAGATCCTTAGTCGTCCGGGACGCAAAAGACCAAGTTTATGGCTTCCTCTCTTCTTCAACAGACGGCCCAAAAAGTTCAAACTTTCCAAGATGGAGCTAATATATAAGGCCAAAAAGTTTAAAGTTCCCCCGTTCACTATCTAAGCCTTCGGGCTTGGGGTTCAGGGTTTAGGCTTTCTGTTAGAATTTCGAAAGCCTAAACCCTAAACTGCTGTGCCAAAGCGGGGCTGGCACCGTCGAGGGCTTTGACTGATTTTGATAAAGGGCTATTGTAAACCGGATACTCTAAAATCCGAAAGTGTAACCCTGAGGCCGTAAACCTTTTTTGGCACGGTCTGATTCCAGTTTTCGCTGGGTGTTTTTGCAACACAGGGCAAGGCAACAGTTAGAAGTGAGTGAACCCTGAAGCCTACCTAAAGTCTCCATTGTAGTTCCTTTTTTTGGTTTAACCAATTTTATATTAAGGATCCTAAAAGGTAACCCCAAAAAGGAACTACAAATGGAGACTATAGGTAATGTCAGATCGGTAGCCGTAACCTAAGAAGTGCGGACCCGAAAGGCCCTAGGAGGGTTTAGGGTTTAGGGCAGTGGGTTTAGGGTTCAGGGATTTAGGGTTTAGGGTTTAGGGATTTAGGGTTTAGGGTGGAGGGTTCAGGGATTTAGGGTTTAGGGCAGTGGGTTTAGGGTTCAGGGACTTAGGGTTTAGGGTTTAGGGATTTAGGGTTTAGGGTTTAGGGTTCAGGGATTTAGGGTTTAGGGTTTAGGGATTTAGGGTTTAGGGATTTAGGGTTTAGGGCTTTGGGTTTAGGGTTCAGGGATTTAGGAGCCTACAAGTACCCACAGTAACTAATGTACCTCCAAAGAAGGGATACGACTCTAAAAGATTGGTACATGTACCCTTTTTAACGTCCCTATGCTACCCAGGCAACTCTCGAAACCCTTTGCGATCTACACTGAAGATATCTGAAGACCCTAGGTCTTACATGAGCACCTGCCACACCTGCGGTTTCGACCAATGTATCGATTCATGTAGTTGGTTGTCAAATTTAGGGTCCCTGTTTGGGTACCCTAAATACTAGGTGCCGTACTATATTAAGGACACAAAAAGGACACTACCTGAAGTCTCCATTGTAGTTCCTTTTTTTGGTTTAACCAATTTTATATTAAGGATCCTAAAAGGTAACCCCGAAAAGGAACTACAATGGAGACTATAGGCAGTTTTGACGAACCATCCATGTTCAGACCAAGCCTTCGAGGTCTAGGTGCCACGGGAAGCTCAAGCGGCAAGCTTTAAAACCACACCGAATTCAAGCAGACATTTTTGTTGGCTCCCGCTTGGCTGAAGAGGACATTTGTTACATGTGTAACTAGATAGATGTTTGATGATGTTGTTCATGTCTACACATAGACATCTACACCTGCATCTACATGTAAATACAGAAACACACACCCGCACAGACGCATCCATCCATCCATCCATCCATCCATCCATCCATCCATCCATCCATCCATCCATCCATGCATCCATGCATCCATGCATGCATGCATGCATGCATGCATGTTTACATATGCATGTACACATATGCATGTTACTATGTATGTACACATATACATATATATATATATATATATGTATATGTGTACATACACGTGTACACGTGTAGATAAACGCTCCATGCAAGCAGCCGCTGCATCGGAGGGCCGGAGGAAGGCGCAGCGAAGCCACCGATTGGTGCACGGGCCCGGGTCGTACTCTTGGTGGAGCTCATGCTCCTCGGCTTTCGGATTTGGAGTTTATAGGGCTTCGGGTTTAGGGTTTAGGGTTTCGGATGTGGTTTTATGGTTTAGGGCTTCGGTGTTTTACTTTCACTTCTTGTATGTTTACTCCGTCTGGTCTGACTCTGCTGTGCTTTACTGTGGCTCTGCTTGGGCGCAAGCTCCTGGAGGTTCCATCTTCACTTTCCTTTCTCTGTTTGGATACTTACTGTGATATCTAATGAGCCTAAATCCTAAATCCTTGTGTGCGTTTACTGCCTGTTCGTGCTTAGGGCTTACGGCTCTGTGGCGCGGAGGGTGGGAGTCCACTGCCGTGGGCCGTGGTATTCAGAGCCATAGTCTTGGATTTGCGGTTTGGGATGGTTTAAAGTTTCGGCGCTCGGACGCGGACGATCCAGGCGAGGCACGTGGTTCGAGGTTTGTTTAGGGTTTAGGTTAGGGTTTCAGCGTTTAGGGCTCTAGGGTGGTTTAGGGTGTTTGGACTATGACTATGGTGGCTATTGGCTTAGAGAATTAGCGTTTAGGTCTGAGGTTACGTGCCGGTTGAGGTTCAATGATTCTCGATCAACAGCCAAGATGAGTAAAGATCGCGTTCACCCAACCGCAATCCCAAAATCCAACTCTAAGTAAGTTCACATGGCCGTCCAAGGCTTTGGTGCTTCAAAGGCAAAGTGAAACGAGTTGATCTACAATAAGGGCTTTAGGCCTTAGGGGTCAATGCAAGATCTAGAGCCTTAATACTTAGAATGCGGTTGCGGGGGTATGTTACAGTACAAACATACGGCGGCTACCAGGGGATAGTATTGACACTCATTCCGACCCCGATATTTCGTTCGGGCATCCCGAAGAATTACCCAAAAGACACAGCCTGAAGGCCAGAACTATGACCCTGAAACAATGTACCCATAGTGCTATAGGAACCTGAATAAGAAACCTTGGGTGGGTCATGGGGCCAGGGTTTCTTAGAAAGGTTCCGACATTAGCTAAACAGGTTCTACCGATCCAAGCTCTAAACATAGGGTTTAGGGCTAAGGGGTTTAGGGTTTGGGTTTTAGGGGTTTAAGTGTTTAGGGTTAACTAAAACATGCCGAAGGCACTTGACCATAGACTCTGCAGAGAACCCTCGTGAGTATTTGTGCTTGGCGCTTGCAGTGGAGCTGACACTGCGCCTGGCTGAAGGCGTCGAGTTGCAATACAGGGGCCTTAATAATTAATCCTTTCGAGGCACAATTAGAATAGATGCTCTTTTGAAGGGATCTTAAAACGGGTCCTATAACGGTTACTACTATAAGGGTTACTGTAAGGGCTCCTATGCAGGTTGTTTGTATTTGGGGGCCTTACTAGTTACATAGAATAGGTTTGGGGAGCCTTATACGATAATTACAATCAGGAACCCCCAAAATAGTATCGGTTATTACGTAGGTACCTATAGTATCAGGGCGGGGCCGCAAATGGTGGGATTAGGGTTTTGCGGTGTCGACCAGATACTGATCTTTGCGTGCTGGTCTTATATCGAAATAAGGATAAGACATAAGGCACGACCCAAATAATGAGGGTACCAAGCTTTGAGTTACCAAGTCCCCTTAGCCTCACGTGGCTAAGGATTTAGTTTAGAAGTTGTCGGCTCTTAACATGTCCGGCTTCAAGCTTGTGTATTCAAGACCTGAGGTAATTTGGACCCTACCTGAACCTACCAAAACCTCCCTTTTCGTAGGGTCCCTGTAAATTCCATATTAGGGTTAATAATAAGAACCTACAAAAAAGTAGGGTTTTGTAGTTTATGGTAGACCACCCTTCAGGTGGCTTCTCTGGAGTGAGGCTTGGTCTCCCTTTGTGATCTGAACCTCATGCACCTTCGTTGCGAAGGCTTTCAGAAAGAGCATTCTGAACTTGAGGGTTTGGGGTGGAGGGATCCTTCACATGAGCGGGGGAGGCGTAACAATATTACGGCGCAGTGACTCATTCCTCTTTTTTCTCTTGTTTGAAGGAAACCCTCTTCTAGAATACATTGAAGCTCCCAATTTCGAGTCTGTACGAACAACGGCACTTGTTTCCAGAAGCTTCCCCATCAACTTTCTCAGAATGGACTTTCCGACTTCTGTTTGAAAAACTTGCCCAATTGCGAAAGTTTTCTTTTCGCACTCCGGGCTTAGCTAGCAAGGGTTTAGGGTATAGGTTTTTGGGTAGCAGCCTTCCTTGTAAATAACTGTATATGCTTGTGCTCAGAACTTCTTTAACAACGAAATGAGCCCTGCATGTGGTTCATAGACCTTAGAGGGATTCGGTAAAAAGCCCGTACTTTAAAGGGTCTTCTGGTCCCCAAGGTCAAGAGGACGAGCCTCAAATCGTCATATTCTTCATGGCAAATAAAACTAGAAGACAATTGGCCCGAAAGCATCATCAGCGAAGAGTGTTACGCTACGTCATAGAATCCAGTGTATAGGGTCATAGAGTCACCGAGTCAAAAGCACGGAGTCACAGAGTCGGAGTGTCACATACAGTCAAGAGTCGTACAAGTCATAGTTCATAGAGTCATCGAGAAATAGAGTCGAGTACATGTCAAGCACAAGTCATAGTTCAAAGAGTCATAGAGTCATATAGAGTCATAGAGTCACAGTGAGACAGAATCATAGAGTCATAGTGTTATAGAGTCATAGCGTCAGAGTGAGAAAGAGTCATAGAGTCATGGAGTCATCTATGTAGCACGCACTTGACTTGATGTAGTTCACTCTATGAACACTAATGTTCAGGTTTAGCGGGTTTAGAGTATAGTCCAACATGACGCAGAAGTCTTCCTTTCCTAGCTCCGGAACCTCACTATATAGACATCCCTGATTACTGTGGTTTCAACGTGACTCTATGACTCTATGCATGGTCACTTTATGTCGCAGCAGTAGTAGTAGTAGTAGTAGTAGCAGTAGCAGTAGTAGTACTAGCAGTACCAGTACTAGTAGTAGTGATAGTAGTGGTAGTCGTAGTAGTTGTAGTAGTAGTCGTCGTCGCGTAGTCGCAGTCGTGGTCGTAGTAGTAGTAGTAGTAGTAGTAGTAGTAGTAGTTGTTGTAGTTGTAGTTGTTGTTGTGGTACTAGTAGTAGTAGTAGTAGTAGTAGTAGTAGCAGTAGTAGCAGTAGCAGTAGTAGTGGTAGTAGTAGTGGTAGTAGTAGTAGTAGTAGTAGTACTAGTAGTAATAGCAGTAGTAGTAGTAGTAGTAGTAGTAGTATTCTTTTGTAGTAGTGGTAGTAGTAGCAGTAGTAGTAGTAATAATAGTTGTAGTAGTGGTAGTGGTAGTAGTAGTACTAGTACTAGTTCGAACACTCGACAACGCCAATTTCTGTGAAGGGTTGCAAGTTTCACCTCAATGCACATCAAAAGTAATAACTTTACCTCGCGTTCGAACACTCGACAACGCCAATCTGTGTGAAGGGTTGCAAAATTCATCTCAATGCACATCAAAAATTGCAACTTTACCTCGCGTTCGAACACTCGACCACGCCAATCCCTGTGAAGGGTTGCAAAATTCATTTCAATGCACATCAAAAATTGCAACTTTGCCTCGCGTTCGAACACTCGACCACGCCAATCCCTGTGAAGGGTTGCAAAATTCATCTCAATGCACATAAAAAATTGCAACTTTACCCTCGCGTTCGAACACTCGACCACGCCAATCCCTGTGAAGGGTTGCAAAATTCATTTCAATGCACATCAAAAAATGCAACTTTACCTAGCGTTCGTGCATTCGACCATGCCAATCCCTGTGAAGGGTTGCAAAATGCCAATCCCTGTGAAGGGTTGCAAAATGCAGTTGAGCTGCGCCCAAACCCTGTGAAGGGTTGCGCGGCGCCCGCAAAATGTGTAACTTTACTTCGCGTTTGAACACCCGAGGAAGCGAATCCCTGTGAAGGGTTCACGGCGCCCGAAAAATTTGTAACTTTACCTCGCGTTTGAACGCCCGAGGAGGCGAATCCCTGTGAAGGGTTGCGCGGCGCGCCTAAAATGTGTAACTTTACCTAGCGTTTGGGCGCTCGAGAGTTCCAATCCCTGGGAAGGGTTGCGCCGGGCGCCTAAAATGTGTAACTTTACCTAGCGTTTGGGCGCTCGAGAGTTCCAATCCCTGGGAAGGGTTGCGCGGGAACCCTAAAATGTGTAACTTTACCTAGCGTTTGGGCGCTCGAGAGTTCCAATCCCTGGGAAGGGTTGCGCGGGAACCCTAAAATGTGTAACTTTACCTAGCGTTTGGGCGCTCGAGGAGGCGAATCCCTGGGAAGGGTTGCGCCGGGCGCCTAAAATGTGTAACTTTACCTAGCGTTTGGGCGCTCGAGGAGGCGAATCCCTGGGAAGGGTTGCGCGGGAACCCTAAAATGTGTAACTTTACCTAGCGTTTGGGCGCTCGAGGAGGCGAATCCTTGGGAAGGGTTGCATTCCCGATGGACGACGACGGTGCCACCCCTGGCTTTAGAAGAGAGATTTAGATACCGAGATGTAGAGAGTATGTAGAGAGGTAGAGAGTAAGTCAGAGAGTAAGTCAGAGAGTAAGTCAGAGAGTAAGTCACAGAGTAAATCACAGAGTAAGTCAAGAGTAAGTCACGAGATGTAGAGAGTATGTAGAGAGGTACAGAGTAAGTCAGAGAGTAAGTCAGAGAGTAAGTAAGTCAGAGAGTAAGTCACAGAGTAAGTCACAGAGTAAGTCACAGAGTAAGTCACAAGTAAGTAAGTAAGTATCAAGTGTAGAGTCAAGTATCAAGTGTAGAGTAAAGTATGGAGTCAAGTAAGTTGATTCTATGTCTGTCATCTATGTACTCAACTGCGGCGTTCCACACGGAAGAACCCTTCGCGAAGCTTTCGGGAATTAATTCGAAGCCCGCTTTACAGGGCTCAGGGTATCCCAAATGCTGCAGCTGCACACAAGGTGTGAACTCCTAGTAAGCCCTTAACCCCAAGACCAAAGCCCTTGCAACCCTAAGCTCAAATCCCTCCCAAATTTGTCGCAGTGGCATAGCTATCGAGGTCCTCTCTCCCCGTGCGCTTTTGTCTGTCTCAGGGCGGTAAGCCTCGAGCCATCAATTCATGGGTTTAAGGCTTGGTTTCATTTTGCTTGTCAATATCGAGGGATCACAAAGATTGTTTGCATTGAGCTTCTTGTTTGTCAAGGCATGCTTCAAGCATCATAGGGTCCCAACCGTAAAACTGGGTTTCGCAAAAGGGGAACTGCAATGGAGACTGTAGGTAGTGCCTTGCAACTCAACGGCTCCACGACACTCTAGGTCAGAGTCGCTTCCGTGATTTCGCGACGCAGAGCTTAACGCGACGAGGTCTTTCGACTGAGGATTGCCGGGCTGGGCTTGGGCACCTGCATTAGGATATCTAGGATGTGAGGGTTTAGGGTTTAGGAAGTGCATAATCAAGTGCATGTCGGGTTGTAGGATCAACGGGTGTAGTTTTGAGCACAGGGCCTTCTTCGCTTGAAGACACATGGGGGGCCTTTTCGAAAAGAGGGGCCCCTGTAGTTAGCACGCTAAATACAGTACTAGGTCCTTATTATATAGGGACCCCAAATTAAGGTACCCCTAATTTTCGGAAACTCCCACATGCTCTCTGGATTCATGAAACCCTAAACCCTAAACCCTAAACCGGCACTTGTTGCTCTTAGCCTGAAAGCATCCAATCAGGAACCCAAGTCTGACGCAGCACTATACCTTAGAAGCTGCCCCCACCCTGTAATAGTGGTATATTAAGAATATAATAGGGCCCTAATATATCCTTATAGTCACGATTACAGGGTGGGGGCCCCTTCTAAACTATACCATCAGATGACCTGAATCCTAAAACTTAAACCTTATAGACCCTTAACTCAAAAATATCTAAATCCTAAAACTTTTTAAACCTTTAACTCAAAGGATCCTGAGTCCTAAAACCTAAGCCCTGCATCCAAACCCCTACACATTAAATCCTACACTCTAAAACCCAAATCCAAAACCCTAAACCGCGGCCCGATATCCGACAAACCCTGCAGAGCCCTTCGCCCTGAGCCCAGAACTCCGAATCGACTCCGACCCACCCTGATCCATGAGACTTACCTTAACCCCAAATCGCCTACCCTTGGACCTGTATTTGGGGTTAAGGTATGTTATGTAAAGATGTACCCCAGTCACCCATTCTTCAGGTACCTGCAGCCCATGGGAAGACCAAGCAGCTTCCAGCCAACAGTCCTTGACGGCGCTCTCCACGGCAACCAGGGATTTCCTGAACGGGGACTCGGGTTCTGAAGATTTCCATGCAGAAATACGATGTGACACAACAGACTGTACTATAACATGCTATGGAATCTTGATTTTTAGAACCCTAGTCTAGCAGCATTGAGACGTCCTTAAGCCATCAGCCCTAATTTTGCTATACCTTGATCCGCCCAACCCAACCTGAACCGGTAGGCACGGCTGGCTGCCAGCATCTCCGGCACTCGTCTTTGCACCAAGCAAAACACTTCCTTTTGTATCCCCCCAAACCGTAAACCCTAAACACCGGAACGATACAAACTTCAGTCGCCTTAACAACGAGTAGGAAGTCTACCTATAGTCTCCATTGTGGTTCCTTTTTTGGTGTAACCAATTTTGTATTCAGGATCCTGAAAGGCAACCCCAAAAAGGAACTACAACGGAGACTATAGGTATACTATAGATGCCTTATAGACTCCTTATGGAACCCTTCAAAGACGCCCTTTTCTAATTAGGTAAACCCTAGACCCAACTCCGACGTCCGATCGGGTCGAAGCAGTTGACCCTTCACAGACGGGAAGGGTTCCTTTAAGGGTCCCTTTAAAGGCATCTATAGGGAATCTATGAGGGTATAGGGTTTAGGGTTTTTCTTACCTTTGGTTCGTAGGGAATGGAGGAATTGGGTAGAATTGTAACTACTATTACAACCATGCTTCCATTCCCTACTAACCAAAGGTAAGGTTTGGGGTGTCAAGGTCTTGACGTCTGTAGATCTTGAATGTCCTTCGGTCGTTGACCCTGCGTTGAATGCAAGTCTGACAAGGTAAAGCCACTGACTACCCAACAGGGAGCATTCCTGAAGGGAATCCTGGTGAAGTTTCATTCTGGAAGTGTC